GCACTTCTAACCACTACACCCCTGCGGCCTTTATGCGAAACCTACATTCAGATAAACTTTCGGGGTTTTGGTATCGATATTTGGAATATCAAGACTTATTATTCCGATATTAATGGGTACCCGATATTTTTAGAGGGATACTTTAAGTGAGTACCATATCGATACATTCGGTTCGATATCGTGTCCCTAAATGCGAAGCGCACATTGGCGCGATTCTGTCGTTGCGAATCCGCAAGTCCAAAAATTACAACAATGCTACCCATACATTTTAATGCGCTAGCGCACACTTGCACGATTCCGTCGCTGCGAATTTTTCGAACATTCAATGTTCCTCTTTATTGACGCGTTCGAAACGCGGCTTGCAGCGTTTTGAAGGCGTCAAAGAAGAAGAAGAAAGGTGTCACAGCAATAAAGGCAAAGAAAAAAAAACGTGTAATGTACAAAAACTAATAAAAACGTTCGTAATAATAGTATTTTGTACGATTTGGGCACGCCGAGTGCGAAAATACACGAAATAAAGGGAAAATTGAGTGAATTGTACATCGGAAATCGACGCGAAAAAATCGCTCAAGTGTGCGCACGTTTGCGGATTCGAAGTTAACAGCCGAATTCGCAACGTATTCGCAACGATGGAATCGCGCTAATGTGCGCTTCGCTTAATACGGAAAATTCGATAGTGAAAAAAAAACCAAAGCCATCGATGATGGTATCGATAGTGCCATCGATATTTTGCCACTACTACAAAATCGTCGCAAGTGGAGTTTTTGGGCATCAATTTCCGATGGAATCCTGTTTCAAAAGTTTTGAAGAGTCTCGGCCAATTGAAGTATGGGATGACACCATGCTAGTAAAATCGTACAACGACGGTGTAAATCTGTTGAATGAAGATGTAGCAAAACGTGTTGCAAGAAATACAAATGTGGAGCCTGCAAAAGCATCGGTTGATGGAACTATCGGCGTGAAAGAGGGGGATTATGTTCGTGCCACATACGAAATCGATGGATGTGATTATGAGGCCAAAATAATAACCGTAGATGAAACCAATGCAACGTGTTTAGTGAGGTACATTGGATACGACAATGAACAAACGGTTAATTTAAAAGACTTGGTTCCTTCCTGGGGAAAGAATGCACGGCGTGTGCAGATTGAACGAGCTAAGAACAGTACAAATAAGTACGGCAACGTTAAAAGGCAAAGTCTGAAGCTCAGGGAAAGCTATCTCAGCAAAGTGCCACCACCTCCACCAATGCCTCTTATGTTAACTAAAAACATTGAAGGTTCTGAACATTTATCGGCCATGTTAATGTCATGGTACATGAGTGGTTACTACACCGGTATCTATGAAGGGTTACATCAAAAAAATTAAAAACTGGGTACTAAAAAATAATTTAAATTTAAAAATGGCATGTTTTATGAGTGGTAAATAAATTTAAGGCATAAATGTAGAATACCTACAATTCTCAAATTAAAAAAAATCATTGGGATCGATGGAGATCATTGAGGTGAACGTAACGATATATATATTTTTTGGGGGAAACAACGGGAAATGTTTAGCTATTTGTACAACGATTTATTGGTGGGGGGCGGAGGGGAGGGGGCGTGGCTCCCCAAACCCCCTCTAAACGACGGTGGATGAACGCCGCTTTATGAAAAGTCACCCCTCACCCCCTTCCCCACCTAAAGACCCCTTGGAGCTGTTTGAAAATAGGGGAATTTTTGATTTTTTGCAAGGAAAAAACAAAGTTAAACTTGCGTCCGAAGAAGGGGGCTGAACACCTTTTGCAGAGAACACCTTTCTGCGTAGGCGGCCTTCGGCCGCGCTTAGGGATTATAACCCTTACTACGTAGAATTCTCCTTTCTGTGTGACATAACTGGGGCTACCGCCCCAGTGATGTAGCCTTGGGAAAGGATGAGGTAACTAGAATTCCCCCCAGTGATGTCTATTTTGGTTACTGCGTGTTTTATAAAAATATCTTGTTATAAAAATGTATATACAAATTTATAACAAAAATTTGCAACAAATACCATATTTCCAACCAACATTATTGTTAAATTAGTGCACAGATTTAGTAAATTAAATTTTTGTAATAAAGCGTGAACTGTTGTCTACAACCCTTACCCCTTACCCCTTACTACGTAGAATTCTCCTTTCTGTGTGACATAACTGGGGCTATCGCCCCAGTGATGTAACCTTGGGAAAGGATGAGGTAACTAGAATTGCCGCCCCAGTGATGTCTATTTTGGTTACTGGGTGTTTTATAAAAATATCTTGTTATAAAAATGTATATACAAATTTATAACAAAAATTTGCAACAAATACCATATTTCCAACCAACATTATTGTTAAATTAGTGCACAGATTTAGTAAATTAAATTTTTGTAATAAAGCGTGAACTGTTGTCTACAACCCTTACCCCTTACCCCTTACTACGTAGAATTCTCCTTTCTGTGTGACATAACTGGGGCTATCGCCCCAGTGATGTAACCTTGGGAAAGGATGAGGTAACTAGAATTGCCGCCCCAGTGATGTCTATTTTGGTTACTGGGTGTTTTATAAAAATATCTTGTTATAAAAATGTATATACAAATTTATAACAAAAATTTGCAACAAATACCATATTTCCAACCAACATTATTGTTAAATTAGTGCACAGATTTAGTAAATTAAATTTTTGTAATAAAGCGTGAACTGTTGTCNCGCAGAAAGGTGTTCTCTGCAAAAGGTGTTCAGCGCCTTTTCTTCGCAACACAGAAAGAGAATTCTACATTGTGAGGGTTATATTCCATAAGCGCGGCCGAAGGCCGCCTACGCAGAAAGGTGTTCTCTGCAA